GTCCCTCTCTTTCTAAGGTCTATGTTTAAACTGAACAGTTTTATTATCCTTGTGGGAAAGAGTGGTTTCACTGTACTGTCTTTTGCATAATTTATACATATATGGCACACAGTGCATTAATATCTACATGGAATTTATTTTGTTCATGTTTATTCTCTCCAGAAAATTGAGAAGCTGAAGTCCAATCTTCATATGTTAGATGATTCAACAGAAAAACCTAAAAATAAACATCTATTCTTTGTGGACTCTGAAAAAGAAGGTATGTCAGCCATGTATATTACCAGAGGTACATTACTTGGGGTTTGCAACTACAGTGACATGATATCAAAATCCTGTAAGTGTTTCAATCTCGCTCTCGCATAAGCGTTCCAACTCAGAAAAATGCGAATGCGCATGCCTGAGATAACTAGGATACTGGGATGTCCAGGTGGATCAAAATAGCTGCTCACGTTATGACGGATTACGATAACATATTTTTTTCACTATGAACGTGGTAGTACATGTTTCATTGTTTTATTACATATTGCCTATGTCATGTCAGAAGGTAGTATCATCAGTCTCACTATCTACGAGATGAGACTTGAATGGGATCTTGGCATGATGTCACCATACAGTACTATGCGCGTTGCAAACCTAAAGTAATGTACCTCTGATATTACACACTCTGGTCATCACTACCTGTAAAGATACTACTTAGTTGTGACCATTGCATTGAATCGATTATAGAACAAGGGAATAACAAAGAACGGTAGAAAGTCAAATGTAACAAAGTTTTCATGGGATAGATGTAGAGGAAATATTTTCATCATAAACGTATGTGACTTGCTCCAAATTCCTGATCACTGGAAGCATAGTGGTTGTTGTATCTGATGATGGATATAACCAAGTACAGTGACTACCTGTGGTTAAACAACAAGAAGGGTTGACATCCCCCCCCCCTCCTGGGTGTCAAGATGCCCTACAAAAAAATTTATTTCACAATTTCAAGCAGTCCAAGATATTGTCTGAAATTGTGGCCTTGAAAATTGGGTCCAAATCCTGAGCTTTTTGCTTGTACTATGTACATGCATAACCTGTATTTTGGCTCATGAATGCTAGCTTTGGCAGTATTTAGTCTGAATGCACTAATAGTAAATTACTGTGATTAATTGAGCCCGTACATTGGCTTCCTGTGCATCTTAATTCTCTCCCATAGCAAAGTGTCTTGTACAACAGCTGGTAATGCTAATGTCTATTTCTGTTACAGTTAAAGAGTTTGATGCTGCTAAGCGTCTTGATACACTGCCAGAGTTGCTACCAAGAACCTACAACAGACCAACGAAAAAAACATTACAGACAGCAAGGCTACTGGGTCAAACAGATGCAGATAGCATACGAGTGAGTTTCACTTGCATCTTCAGTGCTTACACCATTGAAAAACATTTTCTGGCAGATGTTCACAATTATAGTGTTTTTACATAATTTTTCTCATTTACAACATGTACTGGCTGTTTAGGTGATTTGGAACTTCAGTGCCTTCATGAGAGATACCTGCTTCTCATTATTAAACAGATTAAATAAGTGCCAGTTACCGTAGTAGGTTTTTATGCTTATAACTGCAAGGCTTGCTATCCCAAATGACTTAAAGCGGCACTGTGTACATTCCACTGTTCTATCATTGTTCTTTTTTTTCCTGGTTGGTTTATACACAGTTGCTCATGGTCAGAGCCTTACCATTATCGATATGAAAAAAACAATCACATCAGACATAATTTTGAAAATTGTTTGATTTTACTTGCTATGCATGTAAATGCACAACTGAATTTTAACAGATCTCTAAAACTGGCCGTTTCATTTATGTAAATATTCAGTATCACTGGAATATGAATATGTGTTTACAGTCTTCAAATAGGTCATCGTACTGTGACATCATTGTTTATATTTTTGTCAACCAACATGTTAACATCTGATAAAAAATGTCACTCACTGATTAACACTAGCTTGTGATTCGCTGTGACAACATTGCTTGGACATTTTTCGACATGCTTTGTTCGATCACATTCACACTTACTACAAAGATCATGTATAATGACTTACATATGCACATCAATCAGTGTTCTCCCCAGAAATGTTCCATAGAGTCGCGGCTAATTTGCATAATAATTAGCATATAATTAACATAAATTAACATATTGTTTGTCATATGGGGAAATAAAACAAAACCAGTTTTTTTCCTTTTTTTTTCTATTTATTTTATGTACAATCTGTATACAATAAAAGTGCACTGCATGTTTAGTATTGCAAATGTCCTGCAGAAATACTGAGTTTTCTGTTTTTTTTGCTTGGCCCAGCAATCAGCAACTTTATAAAACCCTGTTCCGTCCCGGTAAATTAAACATTGGGTTGATGATTCTTAGTGCTTATCTTCCGTTTCTGTTGTTTTCCGGTTAAGTACTACAATTGTTACGAGTCACGATACTTACGCTACTATGTTCGAGCAATAATAGTTTTTCTGGCTGAAATTATCCATCTATATGTATTTTTTTAATCGTCGATGTTGTCTGTTCAACACAATTGTGAACAAGTCGAGACAACGAAGTTCTGAATTACGAATTGTCGCCATTGTTATACCACGTAAAATTGAGGCTTTTCCTCCAAGAAATAACACAAGTGTCACTCCAATTTCCAAACGTTTCTTGATTAGAATTCCTGATAAATATATTATTTTTCATTATGCTTCACTTAATTCATCCGGATCTGTGCACGATATGCGATCCGAGTGGGAAGTTCACGCTCGCTGGATCTTACGTGGATGACGCCATCTTGTATTCACGATCACGAGGTCAAAATTGTTTACATCATAAATATATATTTTTTCACATTTTGATCTCAAAAAACAAATACAATATCAAAAATACTGATAAAAATCAAAACCTAGAATAATAGTATGACCACATTTCTAAAAATAATAATGAAAATACGTTTCGTACACACCGGAAACATGTGGTTTTTGACCCCAAGTGTGACTATATCATTTGCATATGAATATACGTTTGGCAAAAAGCGTTTGACACCGGGGCTTACGGCTTTGTCTTTATAGAACTGCTTTGTTTTTTTAAACGATATCCAACCAATGAGAAACAACAGGGGTCTATCCCGGGAAATTGGCGTTGATACAATGCATTTGTAGATTTAACTAGTTAGCCAGGAAACTTTACAGTCTGTGAGAGCATGGAGGTAAAAAGAGATATCTCTTTTTACCTCCATGGTGAGAGACTGAAGAAATCAGATCACAAGATAAATAATAGCATCGCGGAGGAAACACATAGCGTTGCGGGCAAATCCGATCGCGCCGCGGCCCGCGACGCTGTTTTGGCCTGGGGAGAACACTGATCAATTCTCATGATCATTTGATCAAGTATGGCTGATGGGCAGCCATTTTGGTCCTGATTCTTGAACATATTTGGGACTGTTTCTTAGAGTTGAACATTCAAATATTGTATGAGGATTATACATGTTGGTTACAGGTGCACGTCATGTTTTTTTGAGATTCATAGAAAAAAATGGTTGATTTGTGACTGCCAGCAATGACTGAATGCATCACTGCACTATTCAGCCAAAAGTATACCCACACTTCAGGATTGCTGCTAGTGATGAAATTTGGCATTAAATACAGAACAGGGACGGTGCATTGTCAAAACTTGTTTGCATTTGAATTGATGTTTCTGTACAAATTAAAATATTACAACATTGCAGGAAAAAAGTGTTGGAATAACCTTTACAATCTGTACTCCATTTAGTAATACTTACAGTCAGCATATAAATAAAAATGTTGGGTTAATAATCACTATACGAGTCATAAAAGACTACTTTATATAATTGCCTGATGTACATATTTTGTTTCAGTACTTGGCCAATGAAAGAAGAAGACAATACAAAGAGCTGACCAGCAGAATAGAAAGAGAGAAGGAGCTTCATATTGTATCTCAGAAAATGGAAGTTCTAAAAAACTTGATGGTATGTTATTTATAGAGAGAATTGTGTGTCACTACAGTGTTTGGTTTGGAAACTCAATTCTTTGAGTGGATGTGGTCGGGATTGGGTTTATTGGTATATTTATGTTGTTCAGAGTTCCCAAATTTATTTGGGTTGGAATAATTACACACTTGACATGTATCTTTCATAAGTGTGCTACATTTGAGAATAGAGGTTGCCAAATCTACTTGCTCAGACATAAACACTACTGTCACCGCCATATTGTTCACTAAAATAGCAACATTGCCAGCTCAGTTGCTGATTGGTTTGCTATGCGTGCCTGGAGGTCTTGTTTAGAACAAACCAAACTCAGCAGGACATTTCAAACTAATACTGAGGGACTCAGACATCACAATGCAATTGCCTTTCAATTTATTTCATTCAATCGTATAAATTTATATACTGTAAAATGACTAATTTTCACTGGGTTTAAATTTCGCTGATTTACCATTTCGGGCATATTCAGTGGGTTTTAAATTCACAGTTTAATCATTTAGATAATGTGTTCTATGCTAAATTTTACATATTAACTGGGTTTTAATTTAGCGCATTTTCCAGTCAGCGAAATAAGCAAAATTAAAACCCAGTGAATAATTAATCCCTTTACAGTATAATAAATGGCAAAGTTACCCGAACAAAATGTATTTACTGACACAGTATGAAATGTCAGGACACAGTCGATGGCATTTCTGGTGCTTATTTATGTTAGTAAATGAGTGCATTTAGCCAAATAGCTCACCCTTGTAAAAGTGGTTTGAACTAAAAAGTTCTAATCATCTAATGATCTTGAGACACGCGTAACAAACCAGGCAGCAACTTAGCTGGTAATGTTGCTGTTTGGGTGTTCAGAACAATATGGCAGTGACAGTAACTGCTACCACTTTGAAAGGAGCATGGTTAAGATCTGCATGTTTATAATAATGGCGTGATGATTGCTAACAAATTCATTGAAATTATCATATCCTTAGTCACATATCTGCATAAAACTCATGGGAGGTGTTTAAGAATAATAATAAGATGCGAATATCAGTGTGACTGTCACCGTGAAGCACATGTGTGATTTTTATGTAAACTAACCAATGTATTTTACATGTGACGTATACGTGGCATGAAACCTATATCAAACACAACACAATAACTGGAGTCCAAATTTTGACAACTCTGTTTTCACTTTGCAGGACAAAACACAGAAAATAAAAAAAAAAGAGGAAACCAAAACAACACCTGCTGTGTATAAATGGGTTGCACAGAGAAAAAGGTGATAGTGAATATCTCAACATGGCCGGGTGTGGAATGTAATCTCCTGTCAACCTTTGTGAAGCAAACATACCAACAACAATAAATTCACCTCCTATCGCTTTGTTTTATTGTAATGTATTTGTGATATAAATCAGAATGGGATTCTTCACAAATAGTTTGATTCAAAGCCAGGTGTTTCAAATATTGCCATGTAGATTTGTGTTTTCTCTCAACCTGAATTCATTTTTTATGCAAAGTGTCACTGGTTTTATTTGCATACAGGTATTAATTGATTAGTCAACTATCTTATATATTATATAAGTATATCAAATTATAAAATGAGATAATTGTGGGTATGAACTTATAAAACTCTGCCCTAGTTTTCTCTTTACAAGTAAACTGAGTGTTATAATAATAACTTGGATGCATTACATTCTTTTCATGTAGTAGTATGCCCTCTTAGCTGACACACAATGGGGCAGACTGTCATGCAGGCTTAATCAGTTTATAGTATGAAGCTTGTTTCAAAAAATGACATTGAGTAAAAAAAATATGAAAGCATCCATCTCTAAGATCAGGAGAAAATGTAGTTAGTTCTAAACACTAAAATACATTGTCATAAAAATAAAATGCTCTATGATATTCCACTGTGCTTTTGTCTTCCCAACTCATTTTCTTCTTAAACTGTATATCACTCACTAATAGTTAAGATGTATGTGTACAGGTTTATGTTGCACTGATATCTAAGGAATGGACTCATCAGATTTTGATGACACTCAGTATGTAGATGCTCTTGGACAATGCACATATCATGAAAGGGTAGTAGAATTTGTCAAAACTGGTGATCTCAAGTGCTAACTTATGCAACTTGTTAACTGGTGGATAACTTATTTTGAATGCATTGTAATGTTAAACTGCAGGCCGTTGTGATAGCACACATTTACATCGGAGATGTACTTGCCTCTTTAAGGACAATTTCTGTTTCCATTACAGTGCACAGAAGAGTATTTCATCATGATTTTAATAATTCCATAGTATGATTCAATCAAAATTTTCACTTTTAGAATTGTTTCACTTGATTAATTGACACAGGACATATATAAGGTAGAAATTAATTATGCAAATTAAATTTAAATCTGTCACTCAACCTGGTACGTAAATGCACAGAGGAATTTATATAGCCACACCTGGGTTTTTGAAAATAAACTGAAATTCACATCAAATGCAATGTGCACACACATTTAGATGAATGATAATTATGTTTCACTGTCCATGAGATGTATGTCTCAGTAAAACTGTCTCATAAAATATGCCTCTTGTTATCATGTGTGTAATGTTTGTGAGCCAATAAAAACAGACTACTGCACAACACATCCAAACTTTATTTCAGACTGCACCATACTACCAAAAACTACAGACAAGCATCATTGTCATTCTTAATATATTACATACTCTAACAAACTAAAGACTCCCTAGTATCATTGTCATTCTTAATATATTACACTGTACCGTCATCACCAAGTAATCTCTCTAATATTAAGAGTCTGGTTTTCTTTGGTCCCCAATTTTTGGCACATGCAGTGATGTAATACTTTTTATTGCGACATTCGAGAGTGGTGAGGCAGCATTGTGCTTGTTTTCACCAACTCGCATGCTCAACCTCAATCAAGCTCACTGTCACAAGTTCCCTGATGGTGTGTAATATTTCCCTTTAGTATCGTTTAATGGATGGTTCCCATAATACACCATTATCTGGTGCTGTTAGCCAGAGATATGTCAATAACATTGATCTTGTTTTCTGAGCTCACTGGCAGTTGACAGGTTTTTATTTCAATTTTACAGTCATTTAAAGAATTTGATTTAAAATAGTCAGCTACATGATGTGAAATTGGTCAACATGCCGTGATAGATTATTTCAGGCTAATTATAGACAACATTTTCTCGGATTATCATCATCAAACTGAGCCATGTCAATCATTATGTTCACGGTAACACCTGAAACAAGATGTATGTAAACAGGCAAGACAAGGCATCGCCGATAAACATGTTTTTTTTTTTTTTATAGAAATTCATATATTAATTAGGCAGACACATCTTCAGCCACCAGCTATATAAGATAGCTACATTAGTACATATTTTCATGAGCTTTGTCGTACTGTAGCGGCGTCTCTGCAGCGCCCTCTTGTGATGAAGATGGTTATATGCAATGTTCATATTGTCTGTGTACGGTTGATTAGTCATTCATTGTTTAATACCAGTAACAAATCTAGAAAAAAAAAACGTATTTTCATTTCTCGTCTATGTAATATGGATGTGTACTAGCCATACCTGGTTAATCACTTCATTGTTGTCATGGTGCATTCGATCTACAGTATGTCGACAACATGGAAAGAATATATGTGGAATTTCAATACATTTTCACGAACAGCGCCACCTAGTGGTAGCATTCCAAATTAAACGCATTTATGCTAAATTTTGTGTAAAAACGCATTGTGCATCTCTGTCATATTGTTGAAACAAAATATGTATCTTTATTTATGAAAATACTAAAGGTTACCGGCCATACGTACATTCAAAGATACACCACTGTTATGTGTGATCACAGGTCACACGGAAAAACTAGAATACAGTTAAACTGGTTAAATACCATCGAGGGTTGCTTTCCCTTTTACGAAATAATTAAAACAAATATTTAAAGTTTGTTGTAAAGGAAGATGCGTGGTGTATACATTTGGAATATAACACTTCCTCGGGTCGCTGTAGACAAGTAAAAAGTAAAAAAAAAAAAATCAACAATAAATTTCACTTAGTGTTTGGCGATAATATAAGTGTGATAATTAAAAACAATTACTAATTCATGTACAACTAATACTCTGCTGAATTTTGTATTCGTCCCTGAAATTATTTCCTGAAGCCACATTGCCACGATCGGCGCATAAACCACACACACAGATTATTCACTCAGCGATTGAACCTGGTTTACTTATCATGTACTATGTTACAATATACAGGTAAACATACACATCATTCAAAGAATATATAAAAAAAAATATCAACATTTCCAGAGTATACTTCAGAAATAATTCGATAAGTACAGTTAATGTAGTGAACGATGATGCCCCCCTTTTCAGTGCGTCCATTGAAAAATATCTAAATGCCCCCATCGTCTTGTCTTTTCATTTGGTTATAATAATATTAAAATCGATGCTACATGAAATAAAAATACACAGATACTTATCTCATGATTTAGTCGTCTCGCGTATATCTGATAATATCAGTGTGTATCTAATAATGGTTGTTGATATTTAAAATATATACACAATGTCGAACAGCTGTGATTTCGAAATTATTTTCAAAGCCATTCCTCTTCAAATATTATCGTTTTGGTTGTAATATACAGTTTGTTTATATATACTTTGTTACATTCCTCAAATAATGTATTTACATACCCCTTGTGGGCATCTACATATAATAGTTGAATCATAATACTAGACAACAAAACAGAAATTATATCTCAATCCCAAAAATGAACACAACGGTTGGTACATTTAGATCCAAAGTTATGGAACTGTCTACCCGTTGCATAGCGTGACATGTAGGCGTGAGTAGGCCCTCGCCGGCCGAATGGCATCAAACCTCACTTGGAGCACCGCAGAGGGCGCAACGCATGCGATCTCGTCAGGCTACCCTACTCAGACACTGAGAATGGAAAATATACGAATTTTCAAAATTAAAATAAAAGAAAAGCTATTGTCAGAATATTTGAAGTCATTATTTATATATTTTACATATTATTAGTATAGGTAAAACTTGATATGTCTTTTTTTTCTTTGTTTCTTTATTGTTCTGCTATTTCAGTGTCTACTGTCACTATAATAGCTAATTTTATAAAAACCTGTATAAGGGATCTGACTCGATTAGCTCTGTACCTATTTCAGGTTCTTTTCACCCATGACAATTTTCATTACAACAGTGTTTGTAAGTATTTATATGTGTAACAATTACGGGTAAAGAAATAAGTTATTATTATATTAATTACGCGTTATCAGTCTCCGAATCTTGCGTCTCCCTATCAACGGCGCACACTTCGAAAGATTTAGGGCTACGAGTGATTCCAGTCTTCCCTACCAAACTTGGATACGGAGTCCCTTCGGGGTGGCTGAAGCTGAATTTCTGCATGAGACAGGAGAAGAAGAGAAACAACTCCATCTTCGCTGTCTGGTCACCCAAGCACATCCGGGCACCTATATAACGAAGATAAATATAATACGATTATGTAAACTGGGAAATAATTAGATATAGCGTAGAGTATGTGCCGCCCTCTCAAGATACAGTGGTGTTTGAGTTTACAGTGTTAGGTGTAGATTTCTTTACTACTGCGTGACAAAGGTGTATCAATGATTGACAGCGCGCCCGAAGCCACAATCCCAATGCCGCGAGGCTAACATGATTAGTACTATTCCATGCTAAGGAACACTGCGATAAAGACTTTCCGTTTTCGACATTGTGAAATTCTTTCGTTTTTAGGCAGAAAATACAGTATTTTTTTACCAAGTAAAATCATATTTGTTATAGTTATTGTTCATACATGAGTTGTTGAACACACTATATGCACTAGTTTTAAATTTCATTCATCTTCTTTCAGTCACAATTCAAGACATATGTAGAGAATGTGGCTAATTATGTTTTTTTCTGTAATATTCTTGTGTAATCGGTAATTATGAAAAATATTTATGGGTGCACAGGGAATTACAATTTGTTATGAATTATTGTTAATATAAATTTTTGAATTATCTTGTCAAAATCAGTTTTTACAAGGTTTTTTTTCTAACAAAAAAACAAAAGAATTTCACATTATCGAAAACGGAAAGCCTTTATCGTTACAAATATTAACAACGCATGATACGAATACTTATTCAGATCAGAAGCAAGCAATTGAACTCGCACGTGTTCCGCACGCAATCATAACGTCATATACCGTAAGATAATCAACAATACATGTAAACTTGTAACATTTCCGTTTAAAAACGTTCAATCAAGAACAACGAAGCCATACGTTAAACCAGTCCCCAAATTATTCAGTAGACTCGACAGATTTGTCGGATCTTGGTTGCATATGCACTCCGACTTCTACATGAACTTTGGTTGTTACGATACATGTACACCAGACATGTTTAATCAATATACAGCGTTGAGGTTGATAAGCATACCAGACGTCTGGGTTAACTTTTGTGTTTGACTTTGTGTCTGTTTCTAAAGGTCATATCACATAAAAATTAGTGTGGCTGGACCGGTTCAGCAACAGTCAAGACCGCGTGTATCGGTATGCTAATAATCTCTAGTACATACTTAAACGGTGCAAGATTTTATAGTAATTATAAACACAAGTTTTTGAGTTCATTAGCATTACCGCCCTCCCACCGAAGAAGGCAGGATTCGGCCGTTGTGGATAATAGTTGTTATGGTCACGGAGTAAATATCGTTTAAAATCCCGCAGTTGAGACTAAAAATAAGCACAGCTATGGTGACATTGAACTTAAACGCTCAAATCACAGTCGTGATGATCAATGATTTTTGTGTTCATTCGTATTATATATTATGTTCCAAAATTGATTTTTCTTCGAAATGTTAACTCTATTCTGTTTTTTCATGCGACAGTGAATCCATACATGCAGGTATAAACTACTGTTACACACGATGGGATCGCATATACTTAATCGTAATCGCATATTTGAAAGTGCTACAACGATTCTTTTCAAGTGAATTGCTGATAAATCTCAAGCAAATCTTCAAATTAAGGTTACGTTTAATACGGATTGTTGAAGCCAGTTTTTGCGCCTATGAACATTGTATAATACAGCATGATTATATACACAACGAAAAACGTGTTTTGCTATTTAGTGACTGGTGGCCAACTTGAAGTGAACTTAATGTCTGTACCAAGCTGTACAAATCACGTTTGCTATTGAACCATTATGATTAATGAGCATTGGTGTGATAAGAGCTGTCGGTCATAACTCGACAGGCGCATTTCTAGATAGAACTAGTTATTTTACGTATAAAGATATTGGTCATATACTACACAATGCCAGATGAAAGGGTACGAGTTCAGCATAAGTTAAAGATATAATACTGTAGACGTTGTAGCCACGGACCTATGATTGATTGAACTGAACCTGGGGTTGAACGACAAATAGAGGCCGGCCTTCACCCTTCCACAACCACAGACTCAATCGGGGGTCTTGCGATCAACCGAACCTGATTTACGTTGTGATAACGCATTGAGTAGCCACATTGTAATTATGCTGGTGGATGGTTACATCGCTACGTCATCTATACATGGAATATGGTATACATAGCATAATCCACTTTAGAGACTCTTGCAATTTGCACCTAATCAAAAACATTGAAATTCAATGTCTGAAATTGTCACCTGGCAGAAACGTATTTTTATTTAAAAAGTGAGAATACGGCAAATTTCTCACATTGAAATGGTTAAAAATATAAATGCTAAACTCTAGTATGCTAAACTCTATCTGTATTCTCTTGCAAATTCTATAAAATAAAATAAGCTTACCAGTACTAAAGGGAATAAAGGTTTCCGGTTTTTCAATTTCCCCTTTATCATTCAAGAATCTGTCTGGTCTGAATTCATCGGGGTTGTGCCAGTGTTTAGGATCATGCAGGACTGACCACAGGTTAGCCATGATGACGGTGTCTTTGGGGATGTGGTAACCATGCAGTTGTGTGTCTTCCATTGCACAGTGAGGCACAGTCAATGGCACGACACAAGCACTTCGTTGAACTTCCAGGATGGTTGCTTCAACGTAAGGCAACTTGGGTTTGTCATCAATTGTTGGGAGTCTGTCACCGAGGACATCAAATAGTTCTTTCTGAACTCGTCTCTGTATATCCGGGTATGTTATCATGTACAGCAAAGACCAGAGTATCGTGGTTGATGTTGTTTCAGTGCCTAGTGTGAAAAGTTCGTTGGCAACTCGGCGGATGTTGTCATAATCAAAAGAAGATGACTGACCCTTCTGGTGCCGGGTATCGATCTCGTGTATATACAGGTCGAGAAAGTCACGTATATCATTTGGGTTGTGCGTTTGTCTATGCTTGTCAATCATCGCTGTCTGGCAATCGCGGAGGTACATGTGGTTCTCTAAAACCCTCTTGTAATTACCGAATGGGAGATACTGCAAAATTGGCAAGAAGTTAACAGCAGCGGCAGACCCACTGTACTTCATGTTACGGTAGTGAGTGGTTAGAAGGTTACGGAAGTCTCGGTCATCGGGATGAAAACGCCTACCAAAGATGAGGGAACATATGATGTTAGACACTGAGTTCCTGACGTAGTGGAATGGATCAAAAGGTTTGCCTTTCAAATGTTGGAACGTCTCGATCAAACCATTCACTTCCCGAATTATGTTAACTTCAAATGCCGAAGAACCCCACCCAAAACGTTTGAGACCAGAAACGGCGAAGTTACGCTGCTCCTTGTAAGCTTCGTTGAATGTGGAGAAAACAATACCTGCAACAACAATAATGACAACAATATTGATAATAATAGTAGTAATGAAGGAGATGAGAATTTACCGAAAAAACTGCAAATAATACAAAAACAAGTTATCAAAAAGTGCATACGAGTTTATGTTTTAAAATTTCAGTTCTTCATTGGTGAGGGAGTTTTACATTTAAATAGCTCATACATTATACGTTGTGCATTTATCTAAAGAACTGTATTTATCTAACAATATGTATTTATATCATTTAGGTATTTGTTTCATTGGGTCAATTTTTTATAATTCTACTATGTCAATATATGTGTACGTTCTGGTGAGTTACATTATTACTGAAACAACCACTTATTGAGAAACATAAGCCGTTGCGAAATATAGAAAAAAATTCTTACAAGTGTGTTCACGAAAGACATTTGAGTGACCACTGTGCCTTGGCATAACATACACATCAATATATATTTGCATTAAAATTTAGGCTTCATCGTCATCTTTACACAGATTGAATTTTGACTCGAAATGCGAACACGATGCTTGGATTTTAGTTGCCCGAGTAATTTCAATGACGTTAGAATAGTTGGTCACTCTCCACGGAAATTGAAGGTCACTGACCTAGAATCTCCCATTGTGTGGATGTCAAGTCAATAGTCGAACAAGCCATGCATGGCACAGTCCCCGTTAGTTATCAAATTTAAGATATAAAGTTTTGTTTATAGTAATATAGCTGGAATATAAACATGTCAGGAATGTGATGATTGTTTAACATTTAAATGATTGACATTTGTATCTGATCGTCAAATGAGTATTGAGAGATATTGCTCTGGAACAGCATTAATTAAAACAAAATCAGCCATTATGAATATATGTATAATGAATATATAAAATTTGAACATAATCAGTCAAAGCATGTCAGAGATATGGCTCTAGAAGCCCATTCATTAAAACAAAATGGCCACTGGTCAGCCATTCAGAATCCGATCTAAAAATAAAACAACGTTTTTAGCAAAAAAATAACGACCATTAGGCCACTTTGAAAAAGATCGTCAAACCAATATATTCGTATATCTGTGACATGATGTATAATGAATATTAAAAATTTG